CTTTTAGAACTTGTAGAGCTTTTAGAACTTTTAGGACTTTTAGAACTGTTAGAACTTTTAGAACTTTTAGAACTTGTTCAAAGTTCTAAAAGTTTTAAAAGCTCTAAAAGTTCCCAAAGTTCTAACAGTTCGAAAAGTTCTAAAAGTCCTAAAAAATCTAAAAGTTCCAAACATTCTAAAAGTTCTATTAATTCTAAAACTTCTAAAACTTCTAGCCGAACAGTAAACTTCCAACAAGCAACGCTGCACGAAACACACCCGAAATTCCCACGCACCCCAAACGCAGCGGAGACATTCCCACGCACCCCAAACGCAACTAGCGCTAGATTCTTTCATGTCAAATGGTTTGTATTATTATTTAATTATTTCGATATGTTCTTTTTTATTAATAATATATCGAATTTTAATAAATTGAATCTAGAATAATATTAGGATTATCGAATTATCTTAAGGTAGGGCGTATCTATTCAAAGAAAAATTAATATTCTATTTATTATTTTTGGATTTTCTGTAATTTTGAAATTATTATAAATATGGAAAGATATAAAAATATATGTCATATATTAATGATTAAATTTATAAGGAATTTTTTTAATGATTCAGTTATTTTTGTGATAGAAATTCATATTATGAAAATATATAATATTTTTTTAGAAATTTCTTCTATAATAAGATCCTATTGCTAAAATATAAATACGATATAAAATGTCCATTCAATTCAATATTTAAATCTATCATTTATCATCTCTTATCGGGAAATAGTCCCTCTTATCTTATCAAGATTTTCATATTTCTCATTAATATTTGGGATATCTGATCTACGATATATTCTGAGAATATGAGATTTATTATCCGTCCGATCGCATTCGATTCGGAGTTGCGACCCAGTCACAAAAAATCAGATTCTAGGATATCAAATAAAATCTTTATAGAGTTCTATATGGATCATCTATTTTCTTATATAATGATTTGGATATTTGGAGAATGAAGGATTCCTATAAATCTTAGCTCATATATTGAAATCTCTCTCTTGGATTTTTCATTTAATACCTTTGCTTTCATATCGGAGATATGAAAATTTTGGTCCATTCATCCCGAATCTATTAGAAAAAAATTCTGCCCATTATACAATTGCTTCTAGATATTAGATTCATCGATCATTATATTCCATCAAGGATTAAGATTAGGATGTCGCAGCCTCTCGTCATCGGATTTGGATTTAGATATCTTCCGAAATCTTGGATTATTTTGATTTAAATTTCAATATCTCTATAGATGATACTAGATTTCTATTTTGAGAGAGAGACGTGGGATTTGCCGCCGATCAACTCATATCAAAACTTAAGATATTTGCGATCTAATCAGCCCACCCTTAATAAATAAGATTTGTCATCCGACTTAGAATCTTAGATATAATAAGAGATAAAGGATCTTCGCGATAGCAAAAATATTCTTCGAAGCTATATATATATCAAACCTCAAAAAATTAGAATAAAAAAAATCGTAAATAAAAATAATGCCAATATTTATCGAAATATAATAAAATTACTAAAAATAATAATACTTTCTAGAATATTATTATAATCAATTCAAATATTAGAATATAAAATCCTAAATTTCTCGAATTGACCAATTATATTTAATGAAATCCAATAAATAAATATATCAAAAAATTTCACAAAAAAATCAACAAATCAACAAATTATTAAAAACAAGTCTAAAAATATATCGAAATATTATGCAATTCGTATCAATCATAATATAGAAGTTCTAAATTCAAGTAATTAATGAAAATTAAATCGCTATCTTGTTAATATCGTTTAATATCGTTAGTTCAGATATTAAAAAAGCTTGAAAAAAATTAAAACTAAATAGATTCTAGAATCAAATAAAAATTTTGAAATATTTGTTGTCATTAAAATAGATTGATTGTCGTATTAGATATGAATCATTGGTCAGAGTCTTTGAATTTAGGTAGTGGCTTCAGGTTCAATCACGATCCGACGACTTGCCACGAAGGCTTTGGTGCTCCGTGAGGGCACGAATTATACTAAATGCTGCTTGCTTTGAGCGGCCACGAGCTATCACCCCTCGTGCTAGAAAATCTTGTCCGCCTGCAACTCCCGTCCTACCCTCGCACACCCTAGCATACGCAGCGTACCCATCTTCGACTCTTACCCAGCATACTACACGCTATCAAATTAGTAACACCTGGAACAAGGACTCATGTTTCAGGATCCACGTCATACGTTGCTACATCCCAATCCTACCCACAGTTGCGAAAACCCTAACTCGCAAAACCTTCAACCCTAAACCTGAAATACTTAAGCCGTACGCCCAACACGCCAACTCGAACCCTAAATCCTACTCTTCCAAAATCACGAACTTGGGCTCCTCCAGCTGCTCAGAATTTTCGAAGTACTCGCCACCGAAGAAGGGATCCTCCAATGCCTGCCACTGCGACTCAAACACCCCTGACAGGGCTTCAGGGTCTAGGACTTTGCGGATTGCGTGTTTCAGAGCTTTAGGGCTTTCAGGTTAAGGGTCTTAGGGTCAAGGGTTTAAGGCAATCCGATTGCATTGCAAACTCGAGACTCTCGTTCCCTGCCCTTCTTCATATCTTCACCTTCTACATGTGTCTGTCGATTGCAGCGTGGCTTCAGCATCCCTAGCTGATCTCAAAGTCGTGCTCATCGTGCCCCCCCCCGAACCATTGAATCATGTGGGCAACCCGAAACCATCAGAAGCTGCCCAGTGCAAAACTGAGCAAAAGGTGGCCTTCCAGGCATCCTCTCCCTCCGCCATCTCGGCATCCGTCAGCAGCGCTGTGCCAAGCTCGGCTTCAATGCCTGCCTCACGAAGGCTTTCGGTGGGCTCTCCGGGGTCCGAGGTTGCAGCATGGGGTTGTCGGCGTTGAGATTGCGAAGCCTACTGGGGAGCAGGGTGTCCAGAGTCGCCCTTCCATTCGGCCTTGTCCAGGCCGACACCAATGAAGACCAGCATGGTTCCTCTGTCGCCATGCTCGGCATGCCAGGAGTCCGTTGCTACCAGCTCTCCTTGGCCGTTGCAGCTTGCAGGGCCGACCAGCAACATGCAAAATTCAGGCAAAACACTCCGAGAACAGTGAGGCTAACTTGGAACACAAATCTGTAATACTCGTGGAACGCCTCCTCCCACTCCTCCCTGGGCATGGCTGCTAGGAAGGGCACCACTGATGCCCCTAGCTGCACGTGCCGACCTGCCACATGGAGGTCGATGGGTCTGGCGTTGGCGGTGGCGAGCCACAGGTGTCCCTTCGCACGGACCACGCCGGCAAACACAGTCGGAGCGGCAGTGCTGTCCGCTGTGGTCATGGTGCTGGCGTAGTCCCCGACGCCTGCTAGAACAGTAGCCAGCCGACCTGGGTGAAATGGTCGCTCGTGGCTGCGGAAAACCATGCTCGAGATGTTGTACTCCTCCGTCTCAGGGGTGTGTCCAGGCCCCCCCTCTGCAGCTTTCGCCAACTCCTGCATCCACCCTGCCGAAGATTCGGCCGCTTCCATGTCGAACAGATGGGTGTTTATCAGCTCGTTCAGCGGCACATCCGCAAACTGCGGCTGGGCAGGCACTATGATCCTGGCAGAAGGGTTGAGCTTCTGGAGCAAGGCACGAATCTCCTGCACTGCACCTTTGTCCTTGACGAGGTGTGCCTTGCTCAGCAAGATAACATTTGCAAATTCGATCTGGTCCAGCATCAACTGCGCAATGCTGCGGTCATCAGTTTCTATGTCATTGCCGGTCATTCCGGCGATGTTTGTCTCGTTGAGCATCTCCAGGCTACTCAGCACATCGTAGATGTTCAACGCGTCCACTACAGTGACCATCGTGTCCAGGCGAGCGAAATGGGACAACGACTGGAGTTCCGAAGCGAGCTCACCATCGTCACCGGCAGACATGTCGGCCATGTCCGCAATCTCTATTTCCTGCCCTTCAGTCGGGCGCTCTATGACCTCCTCCCACTCTCCCCCCGTGGCACCCTCTGGCAGGACCTCCTCCTCAAAATACTCCTCGTCCATGTCCCCCTCCTCCAAATCATCTACATCCATTACAAAAGTCTGCGCCACAGGCATGGGTTCCGCTATGCCGGTGGATTCAATCACCAAGTAGTCGAATGCCTTCTCCTCACTTAAAGCCTTCACGGTCTTGAGCAAATCACCTCTCAGAGTGCAGCAGATGCAACCGTTGTGCATCTCCACCATAGTGGCTTCCTCCTGGATCAGCTTCGAACTCTTGATCTCCGATGCATCGAGGTTCACGTCTCCCATGTCGTTGACGATCACGGCCACCTTTGGCACATATTGGTCAGGACCGTCAGGGCAACATGCTTTGTCGCCAGAACCTGCCGAGCGTAAAATGTGCTTCAACAGGGTCGTCTTGCCGGAACCCAGGAAGCCAGAAAGCACGGTGACTGGGAGCAGCTCACCATTTTCAGCCGCATCATGCCACCGTGCGGAAGCTTCGTCACACTCTGGACATCCCGTGACCTTTCCTGGCACGTGCGTCACTTCAGCTGCAGCAACGTCTGCGCTGAATCGGGTCACGCCTTTCCGTGGCCTGGCTCGCTGCCGGCTCGCTGCCGGCACGAAGGTGGCGAGCGCACCGAAAGCGCAAAGAGAAATCGGAGCCATCCGAGCCCTCTCCCTGCCTGTGCCTCTGCCCACGGCTCCGCAGCTCAGGCCCCGGGCCCGGAACCCGCCATGGCTTAGGCCTGGAGCGGGAGCCCGTAACGCAGGTCCTGGCAAGTGCAGCGGAGGCCAACCCGTGGCCATGGCATACACCAAGCTGCTCCTCTCTAGCTCCCCAAAGCTTAGAGGAACCCTTACAAGCTCCAAAATCTAGGTGTGTCGGCTGAAGGGTTGTGTTACAGAGAAGGTGTAGGGGACCTTCTGCGTTCTCTTGAGCATGGGCCGCAGAAAGGAGATAGACAACCTTCTTCCGGAGATGTCCTGCGGCAATACTCAGCTAAGCACAGCAGGAAGGAAAGGCCATGTGTCCATATAGCTCTTGCATCGTTGGCCCCGTTGGCTCATGGAGATTGCTCACAAACTTCTTCACATCACCGGACTATGCCAACAACTGGCTACATCGGCCCATCCCCTGACAGCAAGCTACCCGTGACGAAACGACTGGATCACAGCACAAGGCATCTTTTCTTGCGACATGCTTCAACTTGAGTGTAAGCAGGACCCTGGCCGAGCAAACGCGGCCGGGATTTCAAGAGTGCAGCAAGACTTACCCAGAAAACAGCGGCGCACATCCTGCTTCACGTACGGTCGCAGGTGAGCATCGTGTCCCTGAACAGTGCAGCAAGGCTTACACTTGCGAGTGAGGAATCCAGAAAACAGCGGCGCACATCCTGCTTCACATACGGTCGCAGGTGAGCATCGTGTCCCTGAACCTATCTGCGCTCGGGGGTGCAACAATTAACGAACACTCCCGGGATGACGGCTGGCGACCTATAGGGCCACATCCCATTCGGGATGACCCATGCTTCGCTCAAGAGTCGCAAGAAGCCTTCGTACAAGTGACCCATGCCGGGCGCTGTCTCAGAAGTTCGCCCCGGCACCTCGCTCCTTCGACTGTGCTCCATCCAAGCCTAGCGGCCTAGCCACTGACCTCTCCCCAAAGATCGGTCCTTTGGCGGTCTGCCGGCAGCGAAGCCAAGAGCCCCAAAGACTCTGGGCGGCCGTCGGCGCTTCCTGGCCGCAGCCGGACTGGCAAGCATCGATGATGAGGTGGATGAGGAGTTGGAAGCCGTGATCCCGCAACACTGACTTCATTTTTTATCACCCCCGACTCGAGCTTGAGAAAGATCGAAAGGAAGAGTCAGGAGTGAGGCTGAGTAGCGAAACTGCGGGCCTGTGAGTGGTGGACGGAGGCTGAACAGAGCTGCTGCAGCTGCTACTGCTACGACTACTCCGACGACGACGACGACGACGACGACTGCCACTGCCACCACCCCGTCCGATAGAAGCAGGACTGGCGGCATTTCATTCAATCACAGGATGGGCTGTGGACCTTACTCCTGCAAAGGAACCTCCGCGGCCGCTGCTGCTCGTGGAGACGTTCTCTGATGTCCCAGGAGCTCACCACCGCGATCTAGGATTTGAAAGAGACTTGGAGGCTCTAGGAGCTTCGATCATTCCTCTGGCTTTGTTATCCGTACACCAGGGCTCAGAGAAGCAACTGGGAGAAAACAGCAAGCCCGCACCCCCAAGATGTCGAGGCTTCGGCGTCATGGTGGACGGATTCCGACAACCTGCGAGGCCGGCCAGTGCGGCTGCTAGCCAAATGTCTGAGTTAGCCATCGGGTCCGCTAAATGAGCAACACCGGGAACCATCAAAGTGCCAAGTCACCAGACTTTGCAGGATCTCTCGAAGTACAAAGCCCGCTTTCTGGCCATCTCCTGGGTGTCCAAAGCAGGTTTGGCTTTGTTCCTTCGGGCTTCCGAATCCTGTATAGCCTGTCTCGGGCTTCGGGGACAACTCTTTGTACGAAGCGTTTGGGGAAGACTCACATCGCCGAGAATCGTCGTTGGTGCCGAAGATGAGCCGAACGGGATCTAGGCCTGAAGCTTGGATGCTTGTCCCCTTCTCGTAGGATAGGAACCGTTCGCAAACCCCTCAGAGATTCGCCAAAGCGCCTGCAAGGTCCCAAGCTCCGAAGCCCCGATGAGCCTCGACGCATTCAACCTCTGCCTGCCAATGCAGCGTAGTGGCCGGACTCCTTCCTCACGAAATGGCAGGGGCTCACGAACTCCAGTGCAGCGGTCGAAATGCGGACGCGAGGCCTGGGTGCCAGGGCGCCGTCAAGCCCGTGACTTCCGACTTGGGATAGGGGTTGCGGATCCGGGCCTCGTCTGGCAGATGTTGTCAGGATCGACGACTCCACGTGGCGGCTTCGAGGCCCTGGGCTGGGCGTTCCGCTCTACTAAGCTCTAGGAGCTTCGAGGAGGTCTCCGCCTTCTACTGCAATGGCCAGCAAATACGAAGTGGGCCCTTAAGTACCCCTCCTTTAGCAGCAGCGCTTGGAGCCTTCGGAGGCGCTTTGTCAAATCTCTTGGCCTTCCAAAAAGCCTCGCAACCGCCGTGGAGAAAAAAAGAAATCCCCCTTGCCGCTGCATCGAGGCGCCGGTCGTCCAGTGTGCAGATGCCGCGCGGAGAGATCCCGAGCGTCTGGCCGCTTCCAGAGTCGTCAGAATTTGAATCTGATTTGGCACGACAAAGCCTGGAACTACAGAGTCCTCATTATACTTATAATGCTTATGATACTATAATTATATCTTTGGGTGCTTTTGTTGGTGAGATGCGGCTTCGCAGCCTTTCTGACCCTCCGCAATCCCGAAATCAACCTGGAGCCCGCGAGCGGTCATGCGGCAAAGAGGTTCTACTGTAAACGCCAGGGAGGAGCACAGGGTTTCTGTCGGAGAATTAAAAAAAGGGTGGACCACCAAGAAAATGCCTCCAACTGGCGCGCAGCATGGCAGGCGAAGTGATTGCCGTAGCTCCTCAGGATGGCTCGGAATTCAGGAGAGGATCTGAGATTGTGTGGAGCCTTTACCAAGAACCGGTGAGCCTTCCCTTCAGTGGCAATTAGGTTTTTTACACTGGCGGGAACTCGAACCCCGGGCTGGCATTAGGATTTCTCAGACGCTCATGAGGTCAATTCGAAGGACAAGCCGGATACTAGCTGAAATTAGGCTCAAGTCAAGATGGGTTGGTGTCCGGGTTGCCCAGCACTTTCCGCAGATGACTGGTGCACCAATGGCTCTGCAATGCTCTCAAGGCAAGCGACCAGCCCACGAGCATCAGCTCCAACGAGGGCGCCAGGGCAGCGCACCTCAGAAAGCGTCTCCCTCCAGATCTCTCTCGGAGACTCGCAGGACCGAGGCCGCGAGGCCTGGCCTCCGCAGCAGCTGCGTGAGCCAGGGAGTGGAGACCAAGTTCTGGGCGACGGAGAGCAAAGCCTGCACCCTCGGACCACAGGAGCTCTGCTACGAAGGCTCCCAAGGAATTCTTGCGGGGCTTGAGATCCGCGTTTGGCACCGCTTGGCGGAGACAGCAGCAGTACTCGCTTTAGTGGTAGAGCCCTAAGACTCTTCCGGAAGAGGTCGGGGTGCGCTAGATCAGGAGGTCTGGAAGTGCTCTAGAAACTCAACCGTGCATCTCTGCTCTACGGTGCTTGTCAAACACTCTCTCCTGGCCGCTTTTTGTGCTGACACTTTTACGTCCATCTAGGCCCCTGCTGTTGTATCATCTCGTCTCTGTTCCTGCTATTGCGTGATGCTGCCGACGTTGCTGTTGGCTTCAGTGGTTGGTAGTATAGCTGCTTCCGACGTTCCACCTCCGCAGTCATCCCTGCACACAACAATCGAGCCACCCCAAAGAACTAAGTCCCAACATTACGATAGCCATGGGGCCGTAGCTCGTCCACCGGATCGATGCTCCAAACTTCATGTGCCGCCAACGCCCTGGGAAGACTTAGGGGGCTGGACAAAAACCGCAATCACTTGCGCGGACCTGGACTGCCTGGGAATGACAGTTCAAACCATCGACTTTTTCGTGCAGGATAGGCTTGCCTCTTAGGTCAGATTACACCGCAGAAACCTTGTTGCTCTTGGCCGAATGAAACATCTTAGGATTGATGATGACTCAACAACAGCAACAGTACTGGCTGCAGCAACAAGAGAGGTGTAGCGGCACAGCAGCAGCACTGGAGGTGGTATATGTTGTGAGGCAGCAGCGGCAGTCGATAGCACGAGTGGATTATTGCTGGCACTGCTGCTGATTCCGCTGCTACTACTGCTACTGCTGTTTTGCAACTCCCAAAGATTTCTGCTTCGACGTCACTTACACATCGATCGGTGGGAAGTCTTGCATTGGGAAGTCTTGGTTAGAAGTGCGCAGGGGTATGCAACAACTCGCAAAATACCAAAGGATAGGAATCCATTAAACATGGTTCGACTGTAGTGCTTGCCATGTGTCTACTGGTGCTACTGAGTTGCTAACTGCGACCTGAATCTACAAGTCTTCGCGTGGCGCTTCTGAGCCCTGAGCTGTGCCAACACATGGAACCCGGCGTGCTGCACGTTCATGCGCGTCGAACCAGCGATGCCACAAATCATCAGCCTGCGGGGTTTAGGAGTTTAGGGCCATCTCTCGCTGTTGGCTCCTGCGAGGTGAGGCTTCCTAGTGACGCACACTCTTCCGACTACTATCGACTGCTGTTTAGAAACGGACCCAACTCCCCTACTACACCCAGTGAGGCGATGCAGCAACGCTCAACACACCAGCACAGCCCGCACACCTCGCAGGCTGCTGCCGTCAACGACCCTTGCGGTGGCCTGGGGGCGGTGCGAGCGCAGCGGCAGCAGGGCAGTTCTAGCCATGGCACGAGCACGAAGTCAGCGACCCGAAGTCATCTCCAGCGACTGCATGCGCAGCCGACTGTGGGAGCTCGCAAGTCGCGTCGCCAGAAAGAAGTCCCGACGTTGGCTGGGCCTGGGTGAACGGAGGCATCCGCCCTCATCTGCAAAGGGGTCGACGCCTCAGGCATGCTCTGCACGAAGGCTGTCGAGGCAGGAGGCTTGCGCTTTTCAGCGGAAGTTCAGAAGTTTGCTACTGAAGAGCGAACCGTCGGCACACTCCGGCACCTCGCAGCAGAGGGCCCAGTGAGCCGAGGCGGCTCTCAAAGTTGCAGGTGGCCGGAATCCAAACAAAGTGTGCGCGGTGCGTAGCCTTGCGAAGCCAAGATAAGACCGGCAACTTCGTCGCTCCGCGCAGGCTGCCCTCCAGTTCGAGATCTCCCGCCACTTGCTGCAAGTCGTCCACCTGGCGGCGGTGATCGAGGCGCTGCCTTCTCACTTGAAAATTGGCGGCCGCTTTTGCTGCGAACAGGCGCAGCCCGACGAAGAGCAGGAGGAAGAAGAGGCTGGAGTGCTTTGCTGGTTTCGCCCTTTGTGTTGTGTTTCCTGGCAGGAGCTCGTGGAGCCGGCGTTGCGCAAACTCCTATCATCCTGCGTCTTCATTGCATGCATGCTCTTATAACCCGATCTGCGTTGTAAACACGACCCGACGTCTCCAAGTCCCCTGCGCTTGCCCGGGGACCGTTTCTTGCCTACAGTAGAGCCAGCTGTCTACATGTAACTTGAACGAGATCGACAGAAAGACTTGAACAGCGTACTTGGAGCGAGACTACAATGCTCAGATTTTTCTTAAGATTGTTCAACGAGCTACTTGTGGGCGCAACTTTCGGCACACGCCCGTTAGACATAAGGGATACGAAGGAGCTGACGCCGATGCTCGTGGCTTCATGCATGCTTTGCAAACACGTGGCGTCTACCCGTGCCTTGCAGCATCATCATTGCATCAATGTCACGGAGTCCTTCGATGCAGACGAATGCCAGTGGCATGGTCGACGAGTCGCCCATGCTTGGGTCACATCGGAGCTGAAGGGGCCGAAATCACGAAAAGGATGCGAAAGTGCTGCATGATGCGGGCGATCGCTTTGCCGCTGT